GTAGGTGGGTGTTTGTCTCGCTTGGCAATCACTTATTTCGTTTCGTTTAGGCAAAATGGCATCTTATGCACGGTTATTCGGAACCAAATGTAGGCCAAGGTATTTAGTTGAATCGAGTCATTCTGACTAAACATTTATGCATTTTAATGACCGTCTGTATGGTTCGTTTATGAATGTATTTGAATCCCATCTTTATTACCTTTAAGACTTCTTATATCTGAAATTATTTCATTGTTTAGGTAATACGATAATGACTTTCTTGCCCCTCATAACTAAAACAATCGAAGTCGATGTCACGAAGTTTTCATAACACAAATTATTTGAACTTATTTCGTATATAACCTTGGGTCTGGATGATGATCCACTCTTTTTTTCAATGTACCCTCTTTGGATTTCGATGTCACCTATCCAGCCCTGCCTACTAAAGCAGCCATTTGCAGAGCTGGTTACTGAACCTTGCCGGTTTCTTGTAAAAGCAATCATTCAGCCGACCCAACATGTTTATCGTCAAATTGAGGGTATTCGATGACTCACCTGTAAGCTTTATGAGGATGGAGCATACTCTCTCATGCCAGACGCCGTTGGTCTTGGTCGAGTGGCCCTGCCAAATGAAGGCTTGTGATTTGGAGATTTGCTCGATTTTGATTTCTACTCTTTCCGTTCACTATTAATGTTGCATCATTCACTGCCCCCTGGCCCGTCCTTGCCATCTCATCCACTAGAGCGCTATATTTGTCAGCATGGAAGGCCTGAAATGAAAGTATAAACTTGGTCTTAGTGACTTTCAGATCTGACTTTGTTTTTGCAACTTGGTCGTGCTTCCAGATCGACTTGGTTGGACGCACTGGCCCGAAGTCCTCTGTTAGAGTTGATCTAATACACTTCCAGACTTTTTGCCGGCATCGTCATTGAGCTACAACTCGCGAAAAAGACAAGTGACCAACTTTCTAACGAACGATTGTGCTATCGCTCCTTCTGTCTTGGTACATTCACCTACTCTTTTATCTCCGTATCTCACTTTCTTTAAGAGAGATGGTGAGGAGGAGGAGGAGGGAGCAAGGTAAACAAGCAGGTGTGATAAATTGCCACTAGACTCGCTAAAAAAGCCACACCTCTAGAGGAGTCAAATATAAACAAGTCAGAAGTTGTGAGAGGTATGATAGGGAGTAGGTAACTGTACCAGGACAGAAGAAATAGTGGCATCACAACTGTTAGGCATAAAGTTGGTCAAAGGTCGGCTTCGCTCGGCCTGGTGCTGAGAATAGCAAGATTCACTGACAATGTCGGCGAAACGTCTGGAAATGTACCGAGTCCATGGTTTGATGTCGGAAATTATGATAACTACTATAGCAGAGGACTTTGGATAAGGTGTATCTATCTTATGTATATGAGCAAAATCTACTTATAAACGAAAAATAAATAATGTAGTCGACAATCTCACCACATATTGGGGTATGGGAAAAGGCTTGGTCTTCCTTGGAATTCACATCTGGCCTATTAGCCAAAGGCAATCGTGGCTAACGTGTCGAGAGTATACACTGTATTAACAAAAACCAAGTTCGAGTCCGGTGGGGGGTTAGGATGAGACCTGTTCATATGAGGTCGAAACTGCAGTACACTTCTGGCTGGATAAGAATACCTTTTGGCAAGCAAGATTATCTTAACTTTGATAGAAGCGAATGACCTACTTGTCTGATTGTGAGAAAATTCAATTGTCATTCCTTCATCTGTTTAAATGAAATAGGGATTATATCTAATGCCAAGTTGCGCATACAAAGTATAGCAGTCTTTAATAGACATGAACTCTGTGTGGTCTGGTCTGGTCTCTTTTTTTCGCAACTTGGTCGTGCTTCCTGGGAGAAACGATTGGACCTAACATGTCCAAACTTCTCTGCTATAGCATATTTCGTTTATAAGTAGGTTGTCGAGACTGCCTAACAGTCGTGATGACATTCCTTCTTCTGTCCTGGTACATTTACGAACATGATCACTGGAAATTTGTCATGGCCGACCTCATCATCTTTGCAGGTTCAAGGTTCCAGCTTCATTTTGTTTATCTGCCTGATATGCTCATTGCATCATACAAACCGTTTGAAGATTCTTTTCACATGTGAATTGTTTATTCAAACCCTGTATTATTTTGTTATTTTGCCTTATAGTGACTTCGAGTTTCACCATTTTATAAACGGTCAAGTCTTAGGTTTTTTTCAAGTGAACTATTTATAATCTGGTAATCTACATTATCCCCATTATCCATTTGCTTTCGCATCCTTTAAAAACACTCAACCGAACCTATTCACACATGCAATAATACATACTATACCACATAAAACTGCATAAAAATTACATACCTCCAAGTCAATAATGAGATATTTACATATTTTTTGCCTACGCGTACACAAATATGCATATAGTGTCTTTTTTGACGAATTGCAGACACCCGACAGACGTACTGATCACCTCCGCCCTCTCCATGCTGCATCAGTTGTTCTGGCACTGCCCCGATACAGCTCGGCCTGAGGCTCGGACAGCCGGCGCCCCTGTTCGTTTGGCCGGTCTGCTCGAGTCAAACAGCAGACTCCAAGAACCCAAGTGGATTGCGGTCTGCGGCGACGCCATTCGAATGCTGGCCTATGAAGACCCGCCCACGAAGGTGGGTTATACCAGCACCATTGAGGCGTATCTGTATGCTTTTGTTCCATTCCAGAAAGTCCCTCTCTTTCTGTCATGTTTTACACAAAATACACATTCAACAGGATTTATTTGAGAATAACACAAATCATACTCTAAAACAGTGTGAAAATATGCAAAGGATTTTCGCATCGTGGTCAGGTGACGCATTTATCTACGCCTATTGGTCAGTAGACAACGAACTAATTTATTCCATGAGACTCAGGAATGAATACAAGACAAATTCTAGTCTAAATCGCACAAGAAAAATACATAAAATCGGTTCTCCCTATTTCGTTTAAGGTGATAAAGGACCGATAGTAGAATTTTCACACAATCACACATGGCCTTGCTTTCCAAAAGGTATTATCATCCAAGCAGGAGTGGACTGCCGTTTTGACTTCACCTGAACTAGTCTCATCAGCAACCTCAGCGGGACTCGAATTATGACAGTGGAGCGCATAATCTTGACATTTTAACCACTACCCCGCCCTGGATAAAAATACCTTTTGCGAGGCAAAGCTATGGGAAATGCAATGCAATTATACGGTTTACTCATATGATTGTGTGAAAATTCACCTTAGACGAAATAGGGTGAATACATCTCATATATCTGATTTAATGTTAGTCTCGAAGCCCTATTCACAAACGACAAATAAGAATAAGACAAGGCTACTGAAATATGTAATGCTGATATTCATACTCGCTAAGCCATTTTTAATGCCCTGTTTAGAGGTCGTTTGATCTTGTTTTCGCAACATGGTCATTTTGGTAGGAAGAGTTATTGGAACGCACTCAGTCCGGGGTCCATTGTCTGCATGATCATTTCCAAAGTTGAACCGTAGACGTGGTACATTATCAAACGTTTCGCCGGCATCGTCAGTGAGTATCGCCATTCTTAGCACCACACAACAACTCGTCAAAGAGACAAGTGAAGCCAATACTTTGACCATACTTGTGCTAAACAATTGTCGTATCTCCCCTTCTGCCCTAGGTTATTCGCATACCACAATTATTTAGCACACGTTTGGTCAAAGGATCGGCTACACTTGTCTCTTTGACGAGTTGTTGTGTGGTGCTAAGAATGGTGATACTCACTGACGATGCCGGCGAAACGTTTAAGAATGTACCACGTCTACGGTTCAACTTTGGAAATGATCATGCATACAATGGACCCCGAATAGGTGCGTTCCAACAAGACTTCCTACCAATATGACCATGTTGCGAAAACAAGGTCAACCAACCTCTATACAATGAAAGGAGACTGCGATCACACAAAAGGCCACACCATCTTGGTCTTCATACCTTTAATGCCCTGAGTTTTGACTCAATACAAGTTCGTCCCATTGGAAATCCCACTACAATTGTGATATGGGAAATTAATGTATTTGCGTGTTCCGATTCCCGTTGCAGGTGGTGGTAACCGAGATGAGGATACCTTTCGGGTGGCAGGGATAAGTGAAATCCCTTGGGAACACGAAGTCAATTCATATGACTGGAAAAATTCAACTATTATTCCTTCGTCACATGAATATAATTTCCCATACTCATTCCTCCTTTTCGAGATTTTAGCTGTTTTTTTATACTTTTATTGACTCTAATTCTTTCTTAGCCTTCAATTCTCAGCTATTGCTTACTTCTGAACCAATACGTCTTTTCAGGCGCTTTAGCGTTCCGATACTCCATTATGTATGAATAGGCAGGTCTCAATCACATCAACACAAAACTCTCTAGCAATCTGTCACTGTTGCATGATAAAATCCTGGTTTACTAATGCAAGGATACAGCTGGGACCGCTTC